ATAATGTATATATATGTATATATATTCTAATATAAGTTGTCAAGTAGAATCCGCACTAAATTGAAGTGAAAAAGTAAAATGCATTATTGAAAATTTCGATGGGAAAGGGCGCGGTGATGTGTATTATTGGCTGAAATGGAAAGAAAAGGCGGGGTTTGCAGTTCTCCGCTCTTATATATTCCGGGTGTATGTGTAGAGAGTCATAATCTTTCATCAAGCGGACGAAGTTTCGTGCAACAGCGGCGTTTCTCGAGGCGTCTAAGGCGGGCCATTGAGGCCATTTTTATCACTGATAAGTTTGGGCTAATCACTTGTGGACGGGACGCAAGCGCATTAAGTAGAAAGGATTTGTCGTATTCGCAGCAACGGCAAATTTCTGCTTTTGCTTAAAAGTCAATAACTGACATACTTTTGTGTGTCTTCTTGACCAGTGTGCCAAAACCGGAACTGATATCGATATTCACAGCTTGAATTCTAAACTCAATACTTGCTATCAGTTATTTAATTACTGTTAAAATAAGTAATAAACAAGCTGAATAACAACATAATTTATTCCGGTTTGATCGTTTCTTTCATTACACCGTCAAAGGATTGATTCGATTATCCAGAAGGTACTTGTCCCGATTGAAGAGTAATTATGACTGTCATTGATTCGACAGCATTATCGTCATCATTACCATCATCAATAACATCAACAGTGTCATTATCACCACTAGTGCATTTATCGGTAGATACCAAGACAACAAGTACTACCGAAGCCCAAAATATTACTAACACCATTACTGCAACTAATGGTAATACCAATGTTACTACTGATATTTTTAATGATGTCAATACTGCTATCACAAATAGTGCTGCGAAGTTTACATATACGGAACCACCGGCGTCATTGTCTAGGACAGAAATTAATGCACACATTATGGAAAAAATATATTGTGGCGGATCATTGCTAGAAGCAGTTCAGAAAGCAAACATATTCCATGACTGCAAGCATTTTGTAGATATGCCGTTGAAGAGTGATGCTGGTTAGCTTTTATCATTTAATAGATTCAGATGTGCATGGGTTTCGTGTGAACTTCTGGTGTGGAGTTGAGCTGAACTGAGGTGAGCTGACTTGACTTGAGTTGTGTAATGTATTGACTTCTGATCTCTGGTTATTTCGGTAATTGGAATGAATATGTGAAATTTGTAAAGGAAGTAAGGGAATTCCGAGGAAGTGTAAAGTGTAGTGCGTTGTTAGCGATTTGTGTTGATTGTTCCTCTTTACAGCGTCGGAATGAGTGAGCAAACAAGTGAGTTAGTTACCGCTAATTGCGTCGACAAGCTTGCCTTATTTGTGTCTTCTTTAAGTAAGCTGATCTGATCGACCTGCACGTATGGCACATACCTACGTACACACTTACTACGTATGCGAACATTACCCTTTCATTCGTATTGTGCTTGTATGTATGTATGTTTTCGAGTGTGTGTGGTGTTGTGGTGTCCTGGGTGCGGGCTGTACATCATCTTGTGCTTACTACCTCTTGGTAACATCTTGTCTGTTTTCAAAGACGCAGCACAAATGGCAAAGAGAGAAAGAGGGAGCATTGGGTGCTAGTAAACAGATAGGTTTTCAGCTGAGTGATGCATTCTTAGCAAAGAGGGACATTCCTTTCTGATTTCTATTTTGTGCATGAAAATGAAATGAAGCCAGTATTGCAGTATTGAATGAAATAATTGGAGATGAAAAAATGTTGTACACGGAAATATAAAATTCATGCAGGACACATGGTATAACGGATTTATGCATGGTACGCAGGAAATAGAAATTTATGCGTGATACACGGAAAAAAAGAAATCTATGCGTGATACAAAGAAATAAGAACTTTATGCGTAATGCACAAAAAACAGATATCTATGCGTGATACAAAGAAATAAATTCATGCATGATACGCAGAAATAAGAAATGTATGCGTGATACGCGGAAATATGAAATAATATACTTTCTAAAAACCAGATTTGAAAGAGTATTGAGAAATGGTTGATACTGAACGTGTTTTCCAACACTTATTTGAGACAGTTAACTTATTCTACTGGATGCAAATTGTGTAGCTAGAGAATTCATGAATTCTCATGCATTTTATTTGCAGCATGAAAATTTGATTCTTGCAAGATGTACTATCATAATATTTCTTTCAATAAGAACCAAATATCAGAACGATAATAGCATGTATAAGGCTAAAATTCCAGAATCTACGTTGCATGATTGGCAGGAGTTAGTCGATTGTGGTCAAGTAGACAATATATCGCTTCGACAATTCGTCGAAACTCATTTCGATGAACCTGGCGGTGAATTAGATAACTTTCAGCCTAGTGATTTTGATCCCGAATGTCGCAAATTTGAAACTATCACTTGCCCATCCTATCGGCAGTGGGCTAAAGAACTGCATCGCAAATGGCCCACTTTATGTCGAAAGGTAACCCTTTTTTACGTATATTTGCATCGTTACAAATGAGTAAGTTATGCTTGGTTTTACTGATAAAATTTTTCAATAAATATTTGATTTGTAAAAGTTAGATTTACTGGTTCTTTCCAATACAAAATCTGACTTTTGAACTAGTGAAAAAATTAGAAAACTTTGTGGAATAAGCATGAAATTAATTAGCTGAAAAATTTTTCACGTGGTGTAAGTTCTTTTTCGTCCTTTTTTGATGCTAAATTATTTTGTAAGCTTCTAATTAAGGCATGCATAATTGCCATGCTGAAATTTTTGTGCATTAAACAAATCCAAATGACAAAAAAGCTATTTACCGTTGGTTTTCTGTTCTTTATTGCATGACGGTAAAGCGTTGAATAAATTTTGTTTTAGACTCAGTGTTTCTAGTTGAAATTCGGAAACAGAAATCTCATAAAAGTAGGATGAGGTTTTATTTTTTTGAGACGAGATGCCGTCTGTAAGCCAATTATTATTAGTTAAGGTAATATTAAAAAAAGTGATCTCTCGATTCCCAATCACTCTGAAAGGTGTAGAATATGAGCTCATTACCTTTCTACCGACTTACTGACTAAAATACAGTTAACAATTGTTGTGAAGTCATGGAGGAATACCTAGTTATATATTATACTGCAAAAAGACTCATCAAAAGCTGGTCTTGATCAATTTCGTGATCTTGTGCAACTTTCTGTGAAGGAGGAAAGGACCAAATTTCAAAGTATTTGGACTTCATTTGTTTAAATTTTTGGACTTAAAATTTATATTGGCAGTTATATAGTTTTGTTGATTAGGAAGTTTGAGATGAGTAAATGGTAATTCTAAGAGTAATTGAGTGACAGAATGAAGATGGAGCTGTAGTTACAAGAGACCAGCTTTATTTTTTATCATTTAATAGTGCAGATAGTGATTATATTACTATATAACAGCTTAGTACTTACAGATGAGGAATAGGTCATAGTTTAGAGTAAGTCGGAGATGGGTTGAGGTCTTTTCCTGGTTTATCCCACGTTACTGTTACAATTTTGGCACTGTTTCTCGCAACCCTGAAATTCGGTTCTTCTAAAAAATGCAGCAAAGACTTTAGTGTCTTTTTCAAATTGTTTTTTGTTACATTAGCTGTACCGATCACTGAGAGGGTGAAAAGATAAAATGTACTCTATTCTAAATAATAACAAAATGATGCTTTTCCGAGATTCCGAGCAAATTAGCAGAATATTACTGTTGCAAATTTTCAGCTACAAAATTCTCTTTTCAATTTTGTGTTGAAAAAAGTCTTTTTCGAATTGGTAGTTGATATTTTAGCTTAAGTTGCTAGATGCATGGTATTTATGATTGCTCGTGTTAATTTGCAGGCAATAATTTTTCTAAAATCCATTTAAAAAACAATTTTATTTAAAGTTTCTGTGTCCTCAGTTCCAAAATTTATAGGTTTTCGACTAGTTTCAGAAAAGCATCATAAAATCGCTACTGGACGTGATTTTTCCAATTAGATTCCAGAAGTATTTTGGTTTAAAATTAATCACTTATAGTGGAATTTTTTCGTCCAGAAGCGTATCTAAAATGAAAATTAATTTTACTTCGATTGGTAGGGAATCCGTATGTCGTACAGAAAGGTTTGTACATTGAAGTTTTGTAAACTCTCCCTGGACTCCTTGAACTATTTTAGGCATTCCTGCTGTCATCACAATCATCATTCAGAAGCCGAGTTTACCTGAAACGCACTTGTGCTACTACTTAATGGTGTCATCAGCAACAAGATCAACAACTAGCATGTACATGCAATTATTATTTGTGTACTTCAACGACAGACAGATTGCAGCAGTCCGGTATTAGCCGGATATTGTCAATGTGGTTACGAAAGAAAGCAGTGAGAAAGCCGTAGTCGCGATTAATTTCACCTTAGGCAATCTAGGATTAGGATTTAGGCTTAGCACTAGGAAATTTATAGGTTTGCTTCAAGGTTTCATCTCATCTGTATACTTGATCTTATTCTTCAGATTCTTCAAAATGACTGGTCAAGGTTTGCTTGTTTTGAATTTTTATTGAAAGAGATGCGATGAAACCTTGCTTGCTAGTTAGGTTAGCTGATAAGTCGATGGCTATTTTTATTAGTCAAAAAATTTCCTGTCAGTTTCTTACTAATCAATAAATTCCACTTTAATTATCCAATTAAGCAATATTTACTGGTACTTTGTTTATTCTCTAGTAATTGCCATCATCACATAGAGCTTTTGAGTAAGGTTTCAGGTTTGACGCCATCTCTGAGTTAATTGAGGCTGGTTTACAGTACACAGGAGGAAATACACATTCAGCTGAATTTATGCAAAAGTTTGGAATTATTTTTATCAAAAATGTACATATTTGCTATGATTGATGATACAAGTGAAAAAAACAAAATAAAGAGTGAGCAAGGAAATAATTAAGTGACTTCTACTTAGTACCTTCGTGTGTATGGTTTCAAGTATCTAAACTTTTTGGTAATTTCAGGTGTCAGATCGAGTCATTGCTGATCCACAGAAATTTTCACTCATCCCGTTGCCAAAACCATTCGTAGTACCTGGCGGACGATTCCGTGAGATGTACTACTGGGACAGTTTCTTCACTATTAAAGGTCTTCTTGCATCTGGTATGTATGAGACTGTCCGTGGAATGATCGAGAATATGGGAAGTCTTATTGACAGGTGTTTTTTCGATATCTTAAGTTTGATATAATTTTGAACTCTTTGCAATACTGAATTGCCATATTTTTATATGATTTATCTCTAGATTTGGTTATGTACCAAATGGAAATCGTGTCTACTACTTAAATCGATCTCAACCTCCATTACTTACTTGGTGTCTTTGGGCTTATTATGAAGCAACAAAAGATAGAGATTTTGTCCTCAGTGGCACTCGATGGTTTGAAAAAGAGTTTCATTTCTTTCAAGCTCAAAAGTAAGTTTGAAATTCTTTGTCAGACCTGGAATTTTGAAGTGATTTCAAATTGTTTCATTGCATTGAATTATAAAGATGATTTAGAGCTGGTTTTTTTTCAAAACTCCGTTTAATATCTTTTGATGAATTCGTTAAAAATTGTAACTGTTTCAAAACCGATGGATGAAAAACATAAAAAGACACAACACTATATTTTTAATTTTCAGATCTATTCAACTGCCCGGTGTTATATCACGGCTTTATCGATATTATGTAGTTGCTATCGGCCCACGCCCAGAAAGTTACCGTGAAGATGTCGAAAGTGCACATCACATAGAGGATCCAATAGAAAAACAACGTTTATGGGGTGACATTGCAGCTGCAGCTGAAAGTGGACGAGATTTTAGTTCACGTTGGTTTTCTCAGGATGGACCCGTAGCGGGAAAAATGGGTTCAACTCGGTATCTGATTTCATAGTTTCATCTTATTAATTATATTCTTTTTCTTAAATTTAATTTCTATCATGAAGCTAACTGATACAAATTCAGCACCAGCTCCATTTTACCCGTGGACTTGAATGCTATCATATGCGGTAATCTTCGACTCATGGCGATATTGTATGAAGTCATCGGTGATGTAGTGAGTGCTAAACATTGTCAACAGCAGTTCGAAAGCATGAGACAGGCTATCCATCAAGTGTTTTGGAATGAAACCCATGGTTGTTGGTTTGATTATGACATTGTTCGGGGCGATCATGTTAACGCGTACATGGATACTAACTTCTTCCCATTATTCACTGGATGCACTCATGATGGTAGTTTGTTTTGTCCATTTGAACCTTTTTTAATTATAAAATGTTGAAAAGAAAATCACGAAATAACTTATTAGTGTAGCTTTTCTGACGAAAGTGTGATATCACTAAATATAACTTTTCTGCATTAATGACTGTTCTGAAGGTTTTGATCCTCGAAAAATTGTGTCGTATTTGACGACGTCTGGCGTTTTGGCATTTCCTGGCGGTTTGCCCAGTTCACTGATAGCATCAGGTCAACAATGGGATTTCCCCAATGCCTGGGCACCTACAACATGGGTCGTTATTCAAGGTTTACGTGTAAGTGGTCAGCATGAACTTGCTCGTCAGATTGCTGAAAAATGGGTGAAACGAAATTACAGCATGTGGATCAATTCGGGAGGACGAATGTTTGAAAAAGTGAGCATTATTTAGAAACAAAACTTATGATATGATTGAGATCGCTTTCGTAATAAAGGATTTTAATAATTTTACAGTATAACGTGGCATCACATAACTTCAACGCAGCCGGAGGTGGAGGGGAATATGAAGTACAGGAAGGATTTGGATGGACTAATGGCGTTATTTTAGATCTACTTCTGATTTATGGATCTGATCTTACTTTCAAGATTGATGAAACATCTATAACAGTAGAACAAAATTGGGATCAGTTCAATCAAGTCCCTATTGGTGTTGCCACTTAACATTATGATGCCGCCGTTTTTGAAAGTTGTGCTTTTTCGTCATTAATTTCGACCTAATTTCTCTCATATTTTATAAAGAACTACCACCAAATAATGCTTTTATCTTGATATTGTTATGTTCCAAGAATTTGAAATTAAAGCTGGTCATTTAGGTTAACAAATAACAGTAGATTCCTGAAATCTGTTTTGGAATTAGTTTATAGTTCTATGCATAAAATGTAAAAAATATGCAAAAAATTTTTATTACCATGATTTTTTATTTAAGTTATTAATAGCAAACTTTTCTTTGAGTATGAGAATCAAGTGGAATGGAATATTTGAGTTTTTGCTACATTTATATGTTAAGATCTCATTGCAGTGCTACGTTAGAAAGTGCTCTTATAATGAAATCTTTGAATGGTTTTAGTTGAGAAATCATTCAAACACGCTTTATCGCTGTGTTTTATTACTTGAGCTTATAGTTTATATTTTTATGAAAAATCCGAAAGAACTAATACCAAATTATCCAACTTTATTACTTTTTTCTGTAACATTTAAAGTTGAAAATTATGTGTGTTTTTGGTAATACTGTCTGCAAGTGCGTTTTTTTATGTTTATACTAGATCGGATTGTAAGCTAGGATGCTTACAGGTATTAGCTTTTCTGTGGTTTCACATTCAACTTTTATGCTACAATTTGTATTTTTTTTTGTATTTTCTGTCTTGGAAATATAATATTTGGTGGTAATTTGGTTTTCATGATAAGTAATGGGGAACAAAACGGTAGTTGAAGAACAACGGCATCAAACGTTGAAGTATTATGATCTTCACAGTGAACATCAATACATGAATGAGGTCCGATTCGTAGCTGGTTTATATGATTTATGCATTTTGTAATGATTATTAGGAAAGGTGGCTGTGGAAGGGTTCTTCTGTGGTTTTTTTTATTGAAAAAAGGAGCATTTTTTCTAGAAAATTTTCTGAACATTAGAGCATACCTGTGGCTGATTTTCATGCTAATGAGTTAATCAGTCTAAGTCATAACAGGTGGTAGGCTACATGCTCGTGGATTAATCTTCTCAAAATGAGTGCAAGTCGAGAATAAGTGCTTGGTAACTGTCCACATGACTGCATTTTTATCTTGGATTCGGTATTTTCATTGTAGATTCTGTAATTGAGAAGAGACATGCCAAGGGAAGTAGGGCAGAAACTTTGAAAATCTTTTATCTAATTGCCGTTTGATATAAATTAAATCTGACAGTTGGATTTTATTCAAATCGCACACTACAGTAGCTAAACAGGGTAATCTGAATGAGTATTTCTGAAGTCTACCTTTCGTTATTCATTTTTCAAATACAAGTAGACATGATTGCAATCAAAACTACAGCTTGCACCAAATTTAATTGCAGTTTTTTTTCGTGAAAAGTATAGTTTTGTGCATCGCCTGTCTGGTCTATGTAGAGGCAAACTTACAGATATATTTGGAGTTACAGAATTCATAATATTTTTTAATTATGCCGAATGGTACTTATTAAGTTTATGAAAACTCAAATACAAACATTTTAGCTTTATTTGCAAATTGATCGGAGAAATCAATGTAATAATAATTTTTCATGCTAGGTAATTGGAAAAAATTAGATATAATTTTTTTTTCCAATTACCTAACAGGAAAACGTTTCCATTTGCATACGTCTTTCACGTTGGTTTTCACTGCTGATGTTATCCTTGACCGAGGCAGTCTCTTGCATGCAGTTATATGTTTTTTGGTAATTTCCTAAACTGCCAATAATTTAATCCTTTCAAAACTTTAATGTGAGAACAAAATTGTAAAAATTAATTGAAATGGGACGATAAGTTTTTTGGATTTTACATGGCAGTTTGTTTAAAAATGCAATCTGCAACATTTCTGTGCAAAAATATCAATATAACAAGGAGAATTATGTTTTGCCAACATCGTATTGTATATTAATATTTGTTACCAACATTATATTATTTTATATTGTATAGTATTATATCATGTATTATATTTTACTGTAATATATGTTAAGATTATGGTATCATTTGTAATTGGAAATGTGTGTATTAACTGACATGTTCGTTATACATATGACAGTTAGTTTTGTATTCGTAACGAATATACAAATGTTACTATTATTATGACTTTATAGTGATTACGTATACTTAATTTCATGTCGAAAATGCGAATTTGATTGCTTGTGAAGATTGTTTGAAAATGACTGCGATGAGCTTACAAAATATTCTCAAGAACTGATTAAATAATATTAGTGTGTAAAGTCAGTGCATTTAGCACTACAAAAGCAGTAAAGAATGCATTTGGTTGTGGAAAGAAAAATATAACAGGAATGGTTAAAATTAAATACCGAAAAGTGATATCGGAATATTTATTCAAACCAATGTGTACACATTTTACAATTGTAATGGGCGACAAAATTTGCATAATATGCAAAAAAGACTGCCTCGAACTTACATTTTTCAGTCTTACTTCTGTTAGCACTATTAATTTCTTTTACAGTTAGTTCATAAACAAATCTTTACAAAATTTTACAGTACTTTAAGCTATTTTAGTTTCAATAAAAAGTATAAAAATTAGTTATGTAGCTCGAATTGCCATATAATTATTGCATTATTGTACATCTTTACGACATTGAAAAAAATTTGTATATTTAAAAAATATAAGCATGAAAATAGAATTAGAAATTATCAGAAAAGATCAAGTAGATTCAATGCTGACCTTTGAAGTCCAATAATATTTCTTAATTATTTTACTTTGTTAGAAAAGACAAGTTCAATTGGCAAGTCATTTTAAGCAATCACTTTAGAAACTTCGCTAGTCCATAGATTGATCTCAAAATTTATCAGATGAATTGGATTTGATTTAATATTACTAGCAGTAGTTTTGGGATTGATAAGGACTCTGATGATATCACCTTCTATATTTAATGAGATAATAGTCAGTAATTAAGCTTAATCTTTTTTCAAATTCAGATTTTGTATATTACCTCTGAGTAATTTTTAGTGCGTCTTTTTGTATATATAATTAGTATCATGCACTATTTAGTAATTAAATAAATTTTATTTTCAAATAGTTTAGATTATTTATTATAATTATTGTAGTACATGAAACTACTGAATATATTTGCTCTTACAAATATAAATTTAGCATAGTCTAGGTGAGGTCAAGGTCAGAGACCAATTTTCATTGTTACTTAAAATTTTAATTCGTGAAGAATAACTGATCGGCCCATAATTCGCATTTACGATTTACATTTCGATAAGCATCTTGAGATCTTCTACGTTACAGGCATCCTTTTATTGCCTGTAACGTAGAAGATTTCAAATTTATTCTTAGAATCTCTTATTGAGAGTGTTCGTTCTTTATTTTTTATAAGAATTAAGATGTCAAAGGTCAGGTTAACTTGTATTGCAATTTTTATCGTCACGTAAAATCTTTGATTTCACATTTCAATGTCTATGCTAAAAGTGAATTTTATTTCATTTAAAGTACGTAAATACATAAGTATTGTTAAAAATATAAATATGATAGAAATTTTGATTTAATCTAATTTACCCTTGAATATGCAAACTTTTTGTATAAGAACCCCAAAACATGCATTGCTTTTAGTAATCAAGTAGCTTTCCCTCTGAAATAGTTTAATTATTTACGATTCTCGTGTCAGTGCATAAAACTACTACTAAATACCGCATATTTTGTGTTTTGTAAAGCAAACGTTCGAAAATTTGCTCACACAAATGCGTGAGAAAATTTCCATAATTTATTTTTCGAAATTTGATAAATTATAATTTAGAAAATATTTAAGTTTAATTTTGAATTCGTTTATTTATTTTTTCATAAACTTTCTTATATTAAATATGCATATCTCTTTATGAATTATAGGCAATATGGGCTCAATAAATACGATTATTATCATTTGCAGTTTGATTATTTTTTCTGCAATAACTATTATCATTATTTTAGTTACTCAACCAAATGCAATGACTGATATAAATTACTTTACAAATTCTCAAAATAAGCAGAATGATATTTTAAAAAACAATTTTCTAAAAGATATTAATAATAACAACAGTGAAAGTAATATTGGTAATAATGGTAATAATAGTGATGATAATAATAATGATATTGGCAATAATTATAATAGTAATAATAATAACCTAGACTCAGTAAAGAGTTCAAATATTTCCTCCATAAATTATCAATTCAATAATGAAAAAATAACTTATGAGCCTGAAATTGAATTATTAAAAAATTTATCAAAAATAACAACTATAACTATTACTACTACCAACAATAATACTATTTCAACTGATATTTTTACTGAAAAAATAACTCAAACAACTGCTATGTCACCTACTGCAAGTTTTTCAACCGTTGCTAAGAAATTCCATACGAAAGGAAAGAAAGAATTGTTACAGTTCTTTACAACTTTAACTTATCCAAATATTTTACTTAAAATTAGAAATGCAGAATTACAAAGGATGCTTTCATCACGTCAACGTACAACTGTGCACGTGCATACGAATATTACTATGACTAACGTGAAAAATTCAACTACTGTTAAGCAGAAATCCACTTCACTTCTATTAGGATATGATCAATTTTCAAATCAAAGGATTTCTACAATAACATCAGCCACTCCTAAATATTCACGGAAACAATTAAAAGCTGTAACTCTGCAGAAACTTGTAGAATATTTGCCCATAAAAGGTTATAATGATAAAAGTACTGAAGTAAAAGAAATGCAAATGACGGAAATGGAATTATTACGAGAAGTGAAATTCCCAAATGATACAAAAATAATTGGATTAGCGGCAGAAAATGGACACCTCTATGTTGCTACTAATAATGGCAAAATTGGAGTATTCAATTCAGAAAGTAATAAAAAAGTAAAACGCAAATTTACATGAATTTTTTGTTTTTCCTAATTTTACGATAACTGTTATTTGAAGTGAGGATATCATGTAATTAAGGAAGCAATAAAAATTTATATTGTAGTATAAAACTAATTAAAAATAAAACTTTACAGATAAACGAATTTGATATTGGAGGGAAAATAGATGCAATGACTATAAATCGCAATACTGATATAATAATAGTGAATGATACTGATTTGGTATCTTATCGGGATGCTAGAATATACCGAAAAATCAACTTACCATTCAGTGCAAAAAGTCTGTCACTTGGTACAAACAAGGTCAGTTACAAATTTTTAGTCATTTAGTGTTATTGCATTTTGTTAAATTTGTAAATAAATCATTTTATTCACTTATTAATTAGGCATTTAAGCGCATGCATGAAGTGGGTAATATCTTATGAAAAAGTTAATGATTATTATGAATTGCTAATAAGTTTTACCAATTTTTTAAAATGTCTTGAAAATTACAAACATATTTTGAGTTCTCATTTATAACTCTTTTAAAAAAAAATATCATTCTCATAAAAATTTTAGTTACTTTCTATTTTAGTATCAGAGAAAAATACCAGTATACATATCAGGGAAAATTCCAGTATATATATTAAATAGTTTAATTATATTAATATATGTGTTTATGCTTTACATTTTTAATTATGCTATTATTTTCAAAATTATTCTGCACCAATTGCATTATTTAATATTGATAAATGTAATGAAAATTACGTATTTATAGCATTTCAGGATTTAAAATAATTGCTATTAGCATGGAAAAAATAAATTGAGCAACTTCCAGGCTGGTTCAGAAGAAGTGATCGTACTTGGCGCAAGTAACGATGTCATGTTCATTTTCAGCAACGATCTGAAACCTATCGAAGAAATTTACTACGCAAATAAAGCAAAACAAACATGCAATTTCGCTATTTTACACATGGATTATTACTATATTAGTTGTGAAAATGCCATTTTAGAAATTATGAAAGTTAGAAACTTAACGACATTATTCGAGTTCTGACTTTACCAATTTAATTTCAAACTCAATTTTTATAATTAATCCAAGTCTTATCTGTACTGATTTTGAAGACTTAGAACTGCAAGCAAACTTTCACTTAATAGTTCACAT